GTTAAGCGTGACTGGATATTTAAGACCCGGTGTCTGGTTTGACATTGACACACGGATACACATTCATAAACTCATATACACCTCTCAGGTTCCTGTGTTTGGAAAGTTGCTTACATAATGGCGGCTCTTTATCTGTGTGTCAATAACCCTGGGAGGGAGTGGCTGTTGCAGAGAGGGAAAGGAAGGATATGGCTGTTTACTTCTCTTTTCATCCTTTTTAATGCTGGTTGGAAAACATTTGCACATATTCAGAAGTGCATATAAAATCAAAAATTATTATCACTGGTAGGGCAGTAAAGGTTTATGGTAATAAATCACCAAATCATAGTCATTCTCTTCAACTACTGCCAGCTTACACCGTATTAAACTGACAAAAAATGTTCACATCCATTTAAAAATTTAGTAAAAGGTATGATATCAAATATTTATGTACAATAGCAGGAGATAAAATTATAAAACTATAGAAGACTTTGAATCACATCATCACATTTCACCCCATTATATCTCTTTCCAATTATTCCAACTCTTCATACTCCTTCGGCTGCTCCTTTATACAAAGTTAGGCCCACAATGCACTTTTATCACCCAGCCATTTATCAAGAAATGCTGTTCCGCCTTCAGCTATACGTGAAGCAATGCAGTTCAGTTGCTGGCTGTCCATCCAGCAGTGCAGCTCAGTGCCAGATTTTCAGCAGCCAGAAGTCCCACTGCAATTTATTTTGCATTGTCTAGTTTTATTTGTCTCTTGGTGGATTTTAAATAGCTACATATGGCTAATGGTATTTTTGGAGTATGAGGAGGACACCAGACATTACCTGCAGCTCTGACTTTGGCCACTAGTTATGGAAAGGGTGGGGCTTATGACAATGGGAAGAGGCTTTTTTTTCTCTGTACATGATTTGGATACAGAAAGGTAATGATGGGATTAAAAATTAAGCTAACATATCTTTTAACATCCTGTGAGGACTCTTAGCTGGATAAAAGTAAAAGTTTTGCATCCACGTGTAAAACATCTTTATCCCTCTCTGTCTCTTCAGCTTACTTTATTCCCCCTCCACTCCCCCTCCTCCGTTACTCTCCTTTTTGGCCATCACGGTGAACACAAACAGACCTTTGCCTTCGCTTAGTGTGTATTTGTGTTTGTGTACGTGTGCACTTGTATATTGACGCTTCTGATGACAGTATCACTCTCTCCCTCCCAGCGATCGGTGTGTTTTTGTTTACACTCTTTCTCCTTCCCCCATTGCTCTCCCTCTACTCTCTCAGGGTGAATGTCTTACATCAGATCACTCGAAGCATTTATAGCAAAGCTTTTGAAGCTTAGGACTCCCACCGTGGCCAAATATAGTAAACGTGAATCCTGCAGCTGTGTGTGTGTGTTAGAGGGTAGATGAGTGAGTGTGTGTGTGTGTGTGTGTTCTCCTGAGTTAATGGCTCTGGGGTAAAAACGTGTTTGTTATTGTTCCCAGCACTTTGCCTGTAGACAACACTGCCAATTAAAGGGGAGGTTTTATGTGTAAAGAGCAGGAAGTGTTGCCATGTGTGGCTGCATGCTATTGGCTGCCAGCTTCTCCCATGTTCCTTCCCTGGGGACTGAGCAGCCAGGGCTCTTTACTGCCATGGCCAAATGAAAGGTAAACACAACACACCTTTGATCAGAGTTTGCATTTAAAACCCTTACTGGAAGTGTGTGTGTGTAGGGAGGCGGCAAGAAAATTACTGAATGACACAGTGAGGTTTTACGTGTGTGTGTGTGTGTGTTCAGCTTAATGAGAGATAAGCTCTCCAGGATGCTACTGCCTGCTCCTCCTCCTCCTCCTCCTCCTCTTGTTGTTGAAGCATGAGTGAAATCATCCCTCCATCCATGCCTCTGTCCCTCCATCCCCCCATCCAGCCAGCATGAAAACAAAACAAGGCGTTGTATGAATGAAAGTGGGAGGGGCTGAGTGGCCTAGCAAGGAAGGCAGGCAGATAGAGAGATAGATAGTGGTGCAGGGCAGGGTGAGGCTGTGGCAGATAGGAGGGATAGAGACGAGGACAGTGGAGTAGGAGGAGGAGGAGGGGATGAATGAATGAGTGAAGCTGACTGGATGCATGTTTGGCATAGCAGCTAGCTTGTGTAGCTCGGCGCTAGCGTGAGCAGAATGTGGAATAATGCTGCTGCAGTAGTGCTGTTATGCTACTGTAGTTCTCCCTGCTGAGACCTCTGTGCTGGGATCAGACAGAAACAGGAGAGGAAAAGGGTAAATACACCTCAGATCAATAAAGAAAATAACTGAAAGAAAAAATAAAATGCCAGGGTAGTGCATTGATTTATTGCACATTTCTCAAGCTGAGTTACTAGCACTACCTCTCTGTTTTGGCCCAGCTTCAAGCTCGCTTTAATTCACCCAATGCAGCGGCAGTAGATTCGTCTTCTCTGGCATGCTGGCTACTTGGCTGCGTCTGCCCCCTGTCTGCCCCAGCAAGGCCAGGGTTAACCCTGGGCGTCTCTCCTCCCCGACATGGAAGAGGCCATTGAATGGCTGCCTCCCCCAGTCAGCAAACACATTGGCTGAAGCTGAGGGTGGATCTGGGGCTGGAGCGGTAATCCGACATGGATCCTAGGCTGGATCTGGATCTGGATCTGCTAGCTGTCTCACCCCTCCCTGCTCTGTTATGTGATGCCGTGGTCACAGCATGTACACACACAGCAGACAGACAGAGGGGGAGGGCTGGGGAAGAGCTATGCATTTTTCTCTATGGGTCAGAGACGACTGTGAGCAGTAGTGGGTTTACTAGCTCATAGTAAAGAAAATGTAATGGAGCGACCCCTGTATGAACTACCCCAGAAGGTCGGAGATTATGTTTTTTCTACATTAGTCATTCCCCCTCTCCGCAGTTTTGACCGTCATTGTTCTGTTCTTTAACCTTATTATCTCACCCCTCCTCTTCCCCTGCCACAACCCCGTCTATCCATTCTGCTTTTACTCAGGCAGCACAATGGGCAGCCCTCCCATGCAGGGGGGGTCCTAGCTGTATCCTTGGCAGTGAGACCTGATGTGATGTCCTCACAGAGGTGGCATCCCACGAAGGCCGGCATGTAGTACCCCCCCATTGCACTTTTAAGCTAACAGTTTGATGCACTGCTTTAAACATTGTTTCTGCCAGTTTTGTAGCTGCTAAGGAACAATGACAGTGGTCTATTTTATTTTTTGATTTGTTTAGAGTGGGGATAACTTCAATATCACGGGAGCTGATCAAAATACTCTCTAATGCAGAATCTTCATTTTCTTGATGCTGTAAATTCTCACCTATAAGGGACCCAAAGCAGGGGTCAAATCATTTCATAAAATGTTTGTTACTTGACCTAGATCTGTTTCTTGCCCCGCCGCTCTTTGGTTCAGTTAGCACATGATATCAAAGCTGACAGTATAGTGAGGAACATGGTGAGAGATGGTGATTAACACACAGGGTCATGGACAGGAAACCCAGTCGGAGGTCAGATATGGCCTAGATATTTTGCTGTTTTCTCTAGTGGATTCCAAAGGAAATTGAAAGACTGAAGCACTTATTTAAAAAATAACAATACAAGAAACGTATGTCGTCTAAAGGTGCAAGTGGCTGATAAATCAAAAAAGTTTAGTCATTTTATCTGCCAGTATTTCACTTGAGACGACTGGTTGATGTTATTTACCTGACAAAGTAGATACTAGACTAAAATAAACTGCCTCAGTAAACTCTTAAGCACCAGTGACGTATGGCGATTTCCTATCCTGTCTGCACCCAGTCTTTATTAGCAGTTGGTAAAAAGGTCAGTTCCTGGTATAAGGTGAGATCTAATGAGTCTCTCTCAGGCAAGGCAATAACAGCTAGTTTATTAGATCATTACAGGGCACAGGTCAAACCTGACTGCTAATCCAATCACCGTTGACACTCGGGCTCTTTCACTAAATGCTGTTTCCCAATAGGTCAAATGAAACTTGACATGAGCCAATGACATATAATGTTGAGCCTATAAGCAATTAAGGTTGTTTCTATGGCGCTGCAGCCCGCCGCTCTTGGCCATCAGACATAAATTGTGGACACTCACTCCCTCATGGATTCTAGGAGGGCAATGAGTGGTTGTCCAATTGCATGTTTGCATGAAAATTACAGCTGGAGCTTGTCTGATTGTAGTATTGAATGCTAATTAGTGTTTGTTTATTATGTGCTTTTGTGCAAATTAAGTTTAAATAGCTTAATCAGCTGTGTTACTTTAGTATAACATAACCACAGAATACAATACATAACAATACAGTAACCCAACTTGTTTATACAACATTGCGTTACCTGTACACTACTTTAGGATAGCTGGTTCATGCTTTGTTAATCTACAGGGGCTCAGACAAGTGTGTATACCATCACCCAGCGAGGTTTTTCAGTTTTAATCAGGTTTGTAGTCCTGCTGATGATAGTACATCGTTCCCATTTTCTCTGTGAGCAACCACAGCAACCGCACATTAAAAAGGCAACAAGGAACCACAAGGCCTAGCGGAGAACACCTGTTTATAGTTCATGCAGCCATGTTCATGTGTGTACTTACTACCAAACATGGATGTGGTTCTCTTGCTGCTCTCAGATCAGAGCAAACCACCACTTGGTGGCCATTTTGACCACAGGGTTTTGCTCGCTCCGCCCCTTCTTGTTTTAATGTTTTGTGAGTTGTTAAATGCTAGACGGAGTGACTGAGACAGAGAGAAATATCCCTGCCTACATGCAGCCCCGTGCTGTTTATGTTTGGTATTTTGTTTTTGTTTTGCTTTGCTCTGCAGGGTATTTGCGTGTTTTGGTGAACTTTGGATAAGTCCCACTGCTCTCCTACTCGTCTCCAAATGCCATCTCAACCAGGGCTGGTTATAAACACAGTCTTAATGGTGATACTAGTTGAGGCCTAAATAAAACATGACTGAGTCAACATGTATCAAACCTGATATTAACCACCTCTGTCCCTTTTCTCTTCTTCTTCTCCCTTTCCTCAGTGTGCTTGGACAACTGTAAGCATAGTGCCTGTAGCCTCCAGGGCCAGTGTTGCCATGACCAGTGCCTGGGTGGCTGTTCTGAGCCAGGTAATGCAAGTAGCTGTGTGGCCTGCAGGAACCTCCAGCATGGCAATACCTGTATGGAAAAGTGTCCTCCTGGATTCTATGTCTTCAGGGGCTGGCGCTGCATCAGCTTCAACTTCTGCCAGGTTGGTAATAACTTGAATTCTTAAGGTTAACTCATGTAATGTTTAGTACACATTTAGACATAGGAAACCTATGCAAATATATATATATCTCATATGTGTTTTCCTTGTTTTTAAATCCAGGAGCTCCACAACCAGTGTAAGCAGAGTAAGAAGTTAAACCAGGATCGAGAATCGGGCTGCTACGAATATGTCATCCACAACGGGGCCTGTATTCCAGAGTGTCCCTCTGGATACACCACTATCAACTCCACTACGTACGTCTGACTCACACACACACACACACTCACTTATTCCACCATAAACACTGCCATGTCATTGATGGTGGCCATCATTACGTAATCAGAGATGTGATTGTCACCCACAACAAATCATGCCTCTGTGACTACAGCAGAACAAGGGGATTGTGGTCACTCAACACACTCAATAACTTTTGCACACAAGAGATGTTGGTGTTTGGAAGTTGATCAAACACAAAGGCAGAAGTCTTTTTTCCACTATGGAAAGTCTCCTCTCCTCTGTGTAGGAGCCGCTGGGCTGCTGAGGACAAATTACTATGAGACATTGTAGATGCGCAAAGAAAAAGGCAAAACATCACCTGCTTCTGTGTTTGCCTCCTTGTCAAACGTAAGCAGTCCTGTTTAGCTGTGACAAAGGCATAAGGGAGTTTATGTGCGCTGTATGGTTGTTGGCCTGATCTGCTAATGATCATGATCTGCTTTTGTAAAAACGTGACTGCAAACTAGAGGTAATTTCTCAACCCTCAGATAATGAAAACTCCAACAGTATTCTCATTTTAGTTAAAACTTTAGTTTTATGCATCACAAAATAAGCAGCATACTATAGGAATAAACAAAAGCTGATAACTCTGTCCTTTAATATTGGTATGATAAGTTACTCAGCAGCACCAAATACAAAGTGGCCATATGGGTATGAGACTACATAATTTCATATGTGAATAAGTCCTCTAATCTGATTTGTCGTAAATGAGTGCCTGGTGTTTTCACAGCCTCCGTCACATTCTGTTCTCAGTGATTACACAGCTGCATCAAGTCAAAGCCTCACCAAACTGACATAAAAGAACAAATAATTGTCCACAGCAGTTTTCATATGCAGATTAAAATGCATAAACTTAATTTACTTAAAATGCGTTTGGTGTTGCATACAAAAATCACATTTTATCAGCATTGGAGCGACATTTCTAATCATGCTAAAGCGTTTAGTAGATTATTTTGGAAACAGCATACAGGGGTGCACTAGAGTGAAATAATGCACCCTTTATAGCCAATTATTTTCCTATTGAAAGGATTATTCAGTAGGCTCAACTTTATACTCTGTCTGGGACCTGTTTACTTAGTCTGGTTGAGTGGTTAACATGATGTTATTTCATGTGAAATAATAGCAAATTAGAAATAAGAATTGTTGATTGATACTGAGGATTTGGTGGATGTCTTTAAACCCAGTTAGGATAACAAACAGTACACTGACAGGGACACAGGCATTTGTGGCTGCATGAAGAAGGCTTTAGGTATATAGGTCCTCTGTAGTAGCAGTATAGCTCAGTGTTTAAGCTAGGTGGTGTCATTAGGTGAAAGATCAAAGGTTCAAAACCCTGCAAAGACATTTGTCCTTAAGCACACTGAACCTCTTATCTTGTTGCTATTTCTACCCCCAATAGAAGAGTCAACCGAAAAAAACTGTCTGGACCTCACCTGGTCCTGTTTATCGCACAGCCTTGTCTGTGTGTGCAGCATGCGAGGGCATGACCTTATTTAGCATTCTTACTTGTAGTAAACGGGAGTAGAGGAACATCACTGGCTTCCTCATTTAGTGTCAGTTGCTGTTGCTAAAGGAAGAGGACACGTATTTGTTTTGAGGCCAAGTATGTGTTTTGAAACCGCTCCTGTTTGCCTGCTTTCAAAACTCATACGTAGGTTTTTGGGCAATCGGGAGAAAATATTTTCCAGTAGAAACGTGATGGATATAATACTCTTGTTGTCTGTTTGTGGCTGGGAAAATCTGACAAAACAGCTATCAAGGGAGCTGCCAGTTAAGTTAAAAACAATATCAAATGCCAAGTCACGTTCCAATAAGTAGTCGTCTTGTATATTTAAGATAAAACAAAAGTCTTTACTAAGTGTGGGACCACTTTTTGCTAGTGTAATGACAGATAAAGTTATAGAAGAAGAGAAGGAAGAAAGACGGACAGTGAGTGAAAAAGAAGCACAGAGAGGTGTATTTCTCTGAGTTTGTTCTAATAAGAGCAGGTTGTGTGCTGGAGATGTCTGCATCGCTTGAAGCCACAGGTGGCTGGATGATTGATGGTGTTTGTGTGTTTCTGGTATACCTGCGTTCGTGCATGTGCATGCTTTTTTGTATACATGTGTATGTGCGTGCGCGTACATGCGTTTGAGTGCTCATGTGTGCAGAACGTGTTTGTGACTACATTAGCTCGTTCCCAGTAAAGTGTTTGGTCAGGTTACTTTTTCCAGGTGCAGGCTGGGGGAAATGTCCACTGCGTCCAGATAGAGAGAGGTGTATATGTATATATAGATATGTTTATTAGGTAAATAACACACGCTCACGTGCACAGAGCTTTAGCACACCCAATGGAAACGGTAAGGACATTTCACCCCAACATGACTTTCTCCAAATGTGTCTTGTGTGTGTGTTAGAGAGCGATTGACTTTCCCTTGCATGCTTCCAGCCTGCAGGGATTATCAGGTGCTTAGACCGAAAAGAACATTGCTTTAAGTCTCAGTCATACACCCTGAGGCATAAGGCAGAATGGCATCTTTTGTGTGTGTGTGTGTGTGTTTCTTATGTGCGTGTTTGCGTATAGATGTATGTGTGCACACATCATGTGATAAACCAGACATTACTTTTCATTGGGATTCAGTTGCAACATCAGGGGCCTCAGTGTGTCTGTTTTGCTGCTATGGTTTAGTTATAGCAAGAACAAGCATCATCACAGTGGCTTAGCCTGGCAGAAGCTACACCCAGACAGACACACACACACACACACACACACACGCCCAGACAGTCAGGCAGACGGCACACATTGTGCATATGCGTACACACACACACACCAATGAGGATTGACAAGGGGAGTAGGGATGTTTCAGAGCAGGGGAAAAGGAGGCCCAAGGGGGTTTGCATCATGGTTTTTTGTGACGCCAGTAAAATCCTACCTTCCTTTGGCATCCTTCCATAGTATTATGCAGATTTCAGTATCTATAATGTTAGTCTGGATATTAAGTATATAAAGTATACAATGATTAAAACATTTTAGAGGACCAGTTTGTAGGATTTTGTGGCATCTAGGGCTGCAGATCGCAACTCCCTCGCTTCATCCTCCCTTTCAAAGCAGGAAGGAGAAACTACGGTGGCCACGAAACAAAATGCTAACGCCCCTATTTAGAGCCAGTGTTTGGTTTGTCCCTTTTGGGATACTATAGAAACATGGCAGCTCAACGTGGCGGACTCCATTGAAAGCAACCTGTGGCATCTGAAGATAAAAACGGCTCATTCTAAAGTAACAAAAACATAACGATTCTTATATTGAGGTGATTATACACTAATGAAAACATACCTATGAATATATTCCATTTTTGGCAATAGACCCTCCTATACACTGGACCTGTAAGAAACCAGATGTCACAATAACATAAAAACTGTCTTATTATTCTGACACAGGAACAGTCAGGTGAACAGCCTTACATATTTTTGAACCATTTCATGATAAAAACATGTTTTTACACATACTTACACATAAGCAGGTACGCTGTATCCTCTATAGACAGGTAGCTGTGCTCTCTTGCCGTCACTAACATTCACTGAGAAGGGCCTTCTCATCTCTCCTGGATGCTGTAACAGCACAGTAGTACAGCAGTATGTGTGCGTGTTTGTCTGTGAGTGCACTTGGTCTGGTTGCGCCAGGACTCGGCCCAAAACCAAACCAGAGCGTCAGCTGCGGCTTCTGTTCTAGATGGTTCTAGCAGACCCTGGAGCCCAAGTCACGGAGTTCAGCCGGACAGATAAACACTGTCCCTTTAAGAGCTGCCGTTGAACCAAGCCTGTCTGCCTGTGTGTCTGTGTTTTTTAGTACAACAGCCCAAAACATTCTGTCTTTCTACACTGCAACTAGAGCATTACTTTTGAGAAGCTGAATATATGATTTTCCATGTGGGAGCAAGACAGGCACAAAATATCCTCGAGATTTTCTTCTCGCTGTTGTTATGGAGAGATCATTACAGTGTGTTTCCACTCACTCAGAAGTCATAGAGGGGAAACAATGATATGGCCTCAGATTGATGTAATTTATTAAGAGCTTGATAAGATGGAAACTACGATAAGCCAGGTGTGTATGGGGTCATTTAGCTCTCTCAGGATGCACAGGAAAAGCCAGGCAAGGACCAAAACAGCTCCCTCAGCTGTCCCTCAGCAGTCCCTCGGGACTCAGTGTTTCATGTAGTGAACGGTATCTATAGCACAGCCTGGCATCTTGGGGGAAAAGAAGGGGCATAGTTCGGGTAAAACTGTGTGTGTGTGTGTGTGTGTGTGTGAGAGTGTGTTTCCTGGAGAGGGGGGATTATAATAAGAGTTGCATAAACATAGAATTAAATCAGGTTGAGCTTACAAATGGCAGTTCATGCAGAGCTTGCATGGTCCTTGCAGTGAACAACAGCATCCTTTGTTAGCTGTTCCCCAGGCACAGGCACTGCTTTAAAAAGTGGTGTCGGGAGCGATATGTTGAGGGTTGAGGTAGCCGACCAAAAAAAAAGTTAATGTCTAAGGCAGACCTTTGTGGTTAGGGATGTCAAGGCTGGAAGTGGAATTAAAGAGAGGGATTATTTTCTTTTGAGAGGGCTTAAAAAAAAAAGTGCTCATTTGTGAATGAACGTCGGGTCCCTTTTCTCTGCGTGTCGTGTACCCGGTTGCTCACTAGACAAGGCCTTCCTTTTGTGAATCAGTTTGCTGAAAGGCAGCACTATCAAGGCCTCATTGGTCAGTGTACGTGTGTATGTGATTACGTGCCCAAGCACATGTTTGCTGGGAGAGGACGCCACTCATAGAGCTGAGAGAGAGGGAGAGAAACAGAGAAATGTCTGTTGGCAACTGCAGCTGGTGTTTCAGTCATGTTGTTTTTGTTGTCTCTTATTGTGCTCTGTGTGTGTGCATTCATTCGTGTGTTTGTGTGTTATATGTGCGACAGAAGTAATTGAAGCAAAGGATGAGAAGCTCTCTCCTCCATCCCCTAGTGCTAATAAAAATGAAGGAGGCTCAGATGTGGATGAGAGATTGCCTCATCTTATTCCACTCCTCAAAGCCTATGGATTCATTATGGGACATATCAAATTAATTGAGAGAATTACACAAATTCACCTCTGAATACATCAGCGCATTCATTGAATTGAGATTCAATCACACAGAGAGTCTGTTTGATTGTCTCTCAGTTGAGTTGATCAGTTTACGAAACCTTTACACTCACTATTGTTCATATTTAAGCAGCTTTAAAGTTAGTTTTAGCACAAATTTCATAAATCTAGCTACCACTGCTTATTAGTTTTTAATAAGGATAAGTATTATATTAAGAAGGCAGAGAATAAAACGATAAGTAAAAACAAGAACGAGCATAAGACAAACTTGAGTATAAAGCCAGACAGCTGCCTGCATATAAAGATCAGAATAGAGTTTAGAGACTAGAGGAAATGTATCAGTTATATTCAACTGAACAGATTCAGCCTTGTTGTTTGAAAATGCCTTGTCATCCCTGGTCCCAACCCACGCCACACCAGTATGTCACTGAGCATTCCTGCCTCATACCATTCCTGATATCTGCACACAGAAACATTCATGGTATTTGTTTATTCTCCTCTCTTTTGTTGTTTGCCTTCACTTATGATATTGCTCTGCAATATTAACGTCACACTTAGCGTGGCATGTTAGAAATGATTGTTGATAGCTCTTGTTGTTTCATAGCTTTGAAATGTGTCAACCACAATAATGCCATCTTAATTAGATAAATGTAATGTCCTCGCTCGTCTGTATTGATGGCATCCCTATCCGCCTGTAGTTACTGAATTAACAACACATTGATGTACACATGATGTTGTTTTTTTCAAGACACACACTCTCAGTCATTAGGATGTTGATGGTCCTAATCTGTGTGCATGTTTCTCTCTGTGTAGGTTGACCTGTTTGCCATGTGCAGGCCTTTGTCCTAAACTGTGCGTGGGAAATAAGACGATTGACTCTGTAACTTCAGCGCAGGCTTTGAGAGGCTGCACTGTTCTCCACGGCAACATGATCATCAAGATTCGAGGAGGGAGTGAGTACTACTACACCTCACCTCCTGCTGGGCCTCCTGTGGAGGCTCTGGTTCTCACACTATGTCTGTCTCCTCCTCCCTTCATTGCTCAGTCTGTGTGTGTCTCTCTGACTTCTAGCCATACAGTGTGTTAAACTGACTGTGTGACCATTTCCTTACAGATAACATTGCAGCTGAGTTGGAGGCTAGTTTGGGCCAGATTGAGGAGATCACAGGCTACCTGACTGTTCGCAGAGCCTACGCCCTGGTCTCCCTCTCTTTCCTCCGCAAACTACGTGTCATTAGGGGGGAGCATCTTGAGGGAGAGTAAGTCTTCTCCTCTTTCCACTCCTCTCCTCTCCTCTCCAGGTTTGTCATTTAACAGTGTGTCCTACATTTAAATGTCTGCCTTTCTTCTGTCTCTTTTAGTATCTATGCTTTCTACGCACTGGACAACCAGAACCTGCGTGAGCTGTGGGATTGGTCCAAGCACAATCTCACCATCCAACGTGGTCGTACGTTCTTCCACTACAACTCCAAACTCTGCATGTCTGAAATCAGAAAAATGGAAGAGGTAACGGGAACCAAGGAGCGCAACCAAAAGAATGACATCGCTGTACGCACCAACGGGGACCAAGCCTCTTGTAAGAAAGCCAGAATGTCCGACATGAGATTGTGAAATCGATACTCACCTTTCTGATTACATTTATTTATTGTATAAATAAAATGTTCTAAATCAGCTCTGTATTTGTTTGTGCTTTAGTACAATAATTACAGTACAGTACATTTTGTTCTGTTACTTTTGATTTAGTTTTTACTACTTTAACATTTCCTTTTTTAACTCTTAAGGTATGAGAGTTTATGCATCATTTATCTACTTGCTCAATGTATTGTAGTGTACTGCTCTGTATGGCAACACACTGCTAATGCACACTGCTGTCAGTAAATGAACAGCAGAGCAGCTTGAACAAATAATAGCAGCCAAAATAATAATGAAATGAAATAAAATACTATATCTAAATAGAGAGCAAGCTTTCCTTCAGGAACAATATACACAATGCTACAGGAATATATATATATAAAACCTTAAGCCTGTAGAAAAATGGGAAAGAGGTTTTAAATGCAGCAATACATTATTAATGCAGAATTTAAGCTGTCAAATGTATCAACATCGTTTACTCATTTTAATATAGGCTTTCTTCAGGCTAAACGCATTGTGCAGCTACATTTTATTCAGAAAAATATAAATATCTGGACTTAATATTGGCAGACAGTAAAGGACTCAAAACTCATCAGGACTTCCTTACTATATGGGATGCTGATGATTTCTTTGAGGTTTACCATTATGGTGTGTTTGTTTCTGTGGGGTGTTTTCCACTGTTCATTTCCTCTTTTACCAAACCCATGTGCTGAACATCTTCTGTTTTATCCCTTAGGTGAGACCAAGCTGCTGAAATTCATACTGATCAGGACCACATCAACTATGATAATGCTGAAGTGGGAGCCCTTCTGGCCTTTGGACTTCAGAGACCTGCTGGGCTTTATGGTTCTCTACAAAGAGGCGTAAGTATCTGACAGAAACCATGTGATTTTTCCGTACTATGGCACAAAACATACCAAAGTTAATTACAAAATAAAATTACAGCAGTTAGTCAAATGAGCAGCCTTGCTTGATCTTATTGCTGCCTTTGATGCTGTCGATGGTAATATTTTAATCAAGAGACAACCAGATTCAGTTGGTCTAACAGGTCCTGCTCTTGACTGGTTTCCCTCCTATTTTAAAGATAGGGCATCCTATGTTTCTCAGTAGCTTTGAATCTGGTGGAACTAACATTTTCTATCTATCAGGCTTTTAAATTGATACATATGTTGTCATTTATATGCCGATGACATGCAGCTGTCGTCTGCTATTTCTACTGTATGGTTTGGCTCCCCAGTATATTTTATTTATTATCATCTTATGTCACTTGTTGCTGTGTGCCCTTTAATGTAAATATATAAATAACAGTTGCCTTGCATTGTCTTACCTTGCTCGTTAAGCTCCAATGATACTTCTCACAGTTCATTTGCACCTGTTGATCTGTGTTTTTCCTGATCTCCTCCTTTCCATCTGCTCCAGGCCATATAAGAATGTGACAGAGTTTGATGGGCAGGATGCCTGTGGCTCTAACAGCTGGGCGATTGCCGATGTTGATCCTCCATCCCGTTCCACGGATGGCAAGAAGGCGGATGAACCGGGGTACCTGATCCGACCGTTGAAGCCATGGACCCAGTACGCCATTATGGTCAAAACCCAACTGTCTGCATCTGACGAGCACCAGGTTAATGGAGCCAAGAGCGAGATCATCTACGTCCGCACCAATGCCTCCAGTGAGTTACTCTCCTTAAAAAACACACACACATTAGGAAAATGTGTTTTTAGAGACTTTGCTTGTCCTGGACGTTTTTCATATTTCATGGAGACTGCTTAACTGATTAGAGAATATATTGACTTTACACTTGGGTGATGACAAAATCGCAGTTGTTGGACTCTCTTGCCTTAAAAGTACTCTTAATATTTTTCATGTAAACAAAGGCTTGATGATGAAGGACAGGGCACTGGTGGCTTTAAGGTCGTACGTTACCCATGCAGTTCTGACTATTCTCTCAATGTCCTCCACCATCTCCCACAGAGCCCTCTGTGCCTCTGGACCCTATCTCCTCCTCCAACTCTTCCTCTCAGATCATCCTGAAGTGGAAGCCTCCCACCAGCCCCAATGGCAACATCACCCACTACCGCGTCATCTGTCGTAAGCAGGCCGAGGACAGCGACCTCTACAAGTTCGACTACTGCCTACAAGGTTAGTATCCACAGGTTGCCCTATTTGAGTCTGCCCACGGGACTGTTTGCAAACACATCAGCTGTCCTCACCCCTATTTTACTTGCCCAGGAATGAAGCTGCCGTCACGTACCCCAACCAACCTGGACAGCGATGATGAGCAGAAGTGGAATCACACATATGAGCCCACCTCGGGGGGAAGGTGCTGCGCCTGCCCCAAGACAGACAGCCAGCTGAAGAAGGAGCAGGAGGAGATAGAATACCGCAAGACCTTCGAGAACTACCTCCACAATGAAGTGTTTGAGAGCAGGTACACATCTCAGATTGTAATTAAATGTTACAGCTCATGACCAACACATCTGGACTGGATTTCCGAACTGGGTAGAGACACACTAGTGTTTGAGAGTAATGGTAATGTTTGAGATCAACAGTAATACATTTTAATTTGTCTTTTGCTTTCAGTCATTTTATAATTGTAGTTGTGGCATTTTCACTGAGATCACTATTCATTATAAACACTCTGGTGGTCCCTAAAAGTTTTTAGACAATATACAAGTTTGTGTTTTTGTCAGGTTGCAGCTTTTGCTCACTTGCTCGGACATATGAGTCAGTTAGACTAGCACCAAGAGGAGCTTCTTGCTTTGTAGGTTGTTGTTTGTGGCAGTGCAGCAACAACATTGGAGCCCCTCTATCCAGCCAGACCAGATCACTCCTCTTTTGTCCCAGCCACCATGATGTGCGTCTCAAATCGGCTCCGTGCCAACTCTGTCTCGTCCATCCGTTTGTGTGTGTGTGTGTGTGTGTGTGTGTGTGAGACTGTGTGTCGTTTATATAGACCCTTGTTTTTTTACTGGGCACTACAGTGGGGGGCTTAGGGTGGGAGGTGCTGATTGTCTGGGCCCCAGCGCCCCTACCCTCTCCCCTGACACACACAGACAAACACCCACAGTCTCCGCTTCCCTAGGGGGGTGATTACTGTGCCCATTATCATTCATGCCAGTCAGGGGTGCAGTCATGCAGACTGCCATTCGGACACACACAAACAGTCAAAGTCTCACACACCTCAGCTGCATTCTGAACCCATGCTGTTGAATCGGCCAAGGTCAGTTCCTTACACCGTAGTACACAAAGACCTCCTCGTGCCCTCTTTTTCCATCACGCAAAGGGACTCAGGAAGTTTTCTAGTTTTGTCCGACCTAACCAAGTATATTTACTCAGTCCTACACTTACCTCTACAGTGAAGGAGAGGCTTCACTGCACCAGCTTGGGGTAAAGGGCACTGCTCAAGGGCACTTAATGGTAGATAGTTTTCTAATTCATAAACAGTATATGTATATGTTTTCATTGGTTTAAGTTCATGTTCTTTGTGGTGGGCTAACACTCACAGAGTAATACTTGCTCATTGGAACCACCCAGTGGTTAGGGTTGGTAGCTCAGCCAGCAGGGTAGTATTTGTGGATAAATGTCATGCAGTCTTACTTGCTACACGCTGTAAAGGTTAGCGTGAGCAGAGGTCCTCACTGGCTTTCTCCACACTACTGCTCCCTCTGCCATCTGCCAGGATCTAATTCAAATGAGAGGCTTCTGACTTTTGTGTTGGTCATTTATTCGATTGATCATTCATGTTAGAGGACTACATGCAGAGTATAAATAACTTCCTCCAGATTTTCGGTGGCATTTTACCCTAACTTTTGCTAACTGCTTTACCCGTTGTTCTGTTTCTCCAGACCATCCCGTCGGCGACGCTCAGTGGGAGTTGCCAACGCCACCCAAACTCTTAATTTCCTCCTCCCCACAGCCCCCAGTCTGCCATTTGGCTCCACCACAGCCACTCCTAAAGATGAAGATGAAGACGAGGAGGGATCTAAGGTCTTAAACACTATATTTTGTATATCATACCGATTATATTTTGTATGTCATTCTCTCTGTAACATATGTGCTGATTAATTGCTATTCCCCATCCTTGATTTCCAGTTATAGGAAGCACATGTAAAATAAGAAATACTGAATTACTCAAAATTAGAAGAGAAAATCAAAACTGTT